TTGATTCTGTTCATGGTGGAGAATCCTGCTTCACAGCAGCAGGTTGAGCCAAACATCCTCTAAATGTTCGGGCTCCGCTAAAAACTAACACCGTTTATTTCAAACATTGGATGCAAACTATCGGTCCTTCAACAGACCAGGAAGCAGATTTCTCATCTCCATCAGAAACATCTGCTGGATGCTGATGGGGATTTCTCAATCTGTCATATTAAATTAAGCGTTCATTTCTGCATGTTTTGCTCCTATTGATTTAATGATAATATCGCTCATGCTCTCGAGCTCCGAGGATCAGTCAGAGCGCAGCGATACGGGAGGAACAGCGGAGGCTGTAGGCTTTGCTTTGAGCAGGAGGTCTGGATGCTGCGGAGGAGGGGATGTGGGATTTCAGGGTAACAGGAGAAGCAGCGCAAGTGACGTTTAGAGACTGTCGTCAGACAGCATGTGGTAATTAATAAATGTCTTCAATCAGGATGGGTCCAGATTAGCCAGCAGGTGGATCAGGATCCAGACCGCGGTCCGCTAAATCCATGACCTCTGCATTAAACTAAAGCCAAGAGTAACGTTTGTTTTAAAAATGTAAGGAGTAGAAAGTACAGATACTGGTGTGAAAATGTAATGAGTAGAAGGCAGAAGTAGGAAAATAAGTAATGGAGTAACGGATAGATAGTTAAAAAGTGTAGTTAAGTAGAGTAAGTAAGTTGAATTGAAAAAGCTTCCTGGATGGGAAGAGAAACGTCTTTAAACTAAGTCCATTGGATTGTTTTGAACTTTTCGGTAATGACTATAACCTGATGACTGAGGATGTTCACCAGCAGACCCCCTCGGTCTCAGAATAACCATTTCCTGCTGTTAAATGTGGTCTGATTCTCTGCATGTCTCCTTTCAGGTGAAAGACGTCGTCATGCTGCTGAAGTCATCAAGTTAAGAAGCTAATGTTGTCTCAGGAGATTCTAATGATGTTCCTTCGTTATTTAAGACCTTCTCCCAGTAACACCTTTAAGCTGCTTTAGGAAAAATGTCACATTTTCTGAACAGATCTGGTTTGGATTGTAAAGTTTTCCATCCCTGAAGGTTTACCAACAAAGATGTCCTCAATATATTATAAGATTATGTTTTGTACTGATGAGAAAAATGTCTTTAAATCCAAATATGCATTTTTTTTTAAAGTTTTTTTGTGAAACTTTAATAAAGTCTAGTAAACCTCCTCTCTGCTGCCTCTGTTATCAACCGGAATGTTCCCTGAAAGCTGCTGTTGGATGTAGCAACATGTAGCTGAACCCTCCTCTAGGAGGCAGTGCTGCTCACATTCTATTCAGTTTATTTCTATAGCTCCAACATCATGTCATCACAGACGATTCAACCTGATCATCCAGTCAGATTGATTCAATATTATTTGAAAATATAAAATCTGCAACAAAAATGTAAAAGATAAAGTATGAAAAATGTGAAAACAGTAAAGGTCTTAAAACCTTTACAAACATTTACAAAATGTTCTCCTTGCTTTCAAACAATGGAACTAAATTCCCTCCATAATGAGGCATATTTACTCCAATCATTAACGTTTTAAAAAAGGCATTTTGATCAGTTTTATGTTAAAATATCTAATTCGTCTTTATATAATTATCTCAGCAGCGTTAATTAAGCTGTGATTCATTAAATGGAGCCGTTGGTCGTCCTTCTGCATTTACCGCGTTCATCAAACTATTTTCTTTATTGACTCCTAAGTAGAGCACCGGCCATGTATAGAAGTTAATATTTAGCTTT